GAAACGTCAGCCTCTCTGCTCCTATGATGCTGCTTGGCCTGCTGTGTTCATCCAGCCCTGCACCTTGTTGTCTCGGATTCTCCAGCATCTGCAGTTCCTACTGTCTCTGTCTCTGATTTCCTTCTGTGTTCCAGCAAAGCTCAGGCTGGAAAAACTGCACCTCATTTTCCATTTGAGGTCCCTGCAGCCCTCTGGACTCAATATTGAGGTCAATATTTTTATGGCCTAAACTGTCCCATGTCCTAGCACCCTATCCCACACACCAGGCTTTGTTATCACATAGCCTGCCATTACACACTACCTATTGTTAGTCACTAACAGTCCCAATTAATAGCTATTCACCCTCCTAGCCAGAATCGTCATCAACTCCTTTGTCTGTCCAACTACTCTTTTGTCTGGGCTCTATCCTATATCCTATTGGTTACTCCCTACCCCATCTCCCTCCCTGTTTTCTGCATATAAACTGACATTTTCCTGCTACCATCAATTCTGAGGAAGGGTCACCAGACCTGAAACGATAACTCTGATTTTTCTTCTTCAGAGGTGTTACCGGACCTGCTGAGCATTTCCAGCAACTTCTGTTCTTGTTCCTGATTTATGGTTTTTACTTATCTTTTTGTTATGTTGAACCCTTAAGAAAAATTAAAATTTAATTTAGTATTACAGCCAATTCTTATATTTATACAAGCTTGTTGCTGATACTTCTTGAACTGCTTCAGTCAGTATATTCATTGTACTTTGTAACAGGTTTCAGACAACTTAATGGCCTGCTGGCCATCTCAGATGGAAGTTGCACATAAATTGTAGTTTGGGTGTCTTATAAGACAGGAGATCAGATCTCCTTATCTGATGATCTCCTCATCTGAAGGAAAGTAAAGAGTATTATTGGACAAAAATCCTGTGTTTTTCATAGGTAATTTTTCTAATACTTGTTTTTGTTCTAGGCTTATATAATTAACTGAATTTAAACTCCTTGGCTGCCATAGTGGGATTTGAATTAATCTCACTTGATGTTTTGTCGAGGCCAATGATTTACTAGTCCAATAGCTTAATCACCATGTTACACACCCCATTGGGATTTTCCTGTATTGTGCTGTGACAGATCTAAGGCCTTCTGTCGAAACATTGTGACATTCCTATTTTCTGTTCTTGCTGTAGGTGGAGGAAGCAGAAGCTTGTCGACTCTTTCAGCAGATTATTTCAGCAGTTGATTATTGTCACAGACACATGGTGGTTCATCGTGATTTGAAGCCAGAGAATGTTCTCCTTGATGCACAAATGAATGCCAAGATAGCTGACTTTGGTATGTGACCCATCATGTATGTGAGGAATGTGTCAGGCTGCAGCTAAGTGTTCCAGAGTTGAAAAGTTATTAGTCTGCTAGAAATACAGAATTTAGTTTGTTTCACACAGGAATTAAGATCATCTTGGAAGAATAGTTTAGTTTCTATAAAATAGAATAAATAAAGATCAATCAATTGCATATTTGTGAAATGTATTCTAAAGCTAGTGTTCTATAGAGTGTGCTCAGACAAAATGCGTTATTTTAGATAGTTTAAATTACCACTGAAGCATTGCTGTTATGCTTTTCATATTCTTAAGAAGAAATACATGTAATAGTCTAAATTGTGGTAACCACAGCAAAATCTTGTCCAATAGTATATGAAGCATTTTGATTTGCGAAGTGTGGCTTATGAATGGAGGGTCATTAAGTTGGGATATTTGAAACTGCTGTATAAGCAAGAGGTTTTGTTCTGACAAAGAATGGGTGGAAATCTCCAGGAGTGAAATTTTTTATAAGCTATTAAGATTAGCAGCTTGTTTATCTTTATTGCTTTGTTGCTCCATCGCTGGGATTCAGCAGAATTGAAATTGACCTTGAATAATTGTGGTGTGCTCTTTAGAATAGTCCTAGATACAGTATGGTGGTATACATCGGGCAAATGGTCTCTAGGGCATTTAGAAATAGGTAATAAATGCTGGCCTCGTCAGTTTATTTGTTTAATTGAACATTAGAAACATAGAAAATAGGAGCAGAAGTTGATCCATTAAGCCTGCTCTGTCATTCAAAATGGTCATGACTGATCATCCAAACTCTCTGCCATTAGTCTCTAGGAATTCATCAGTTTCTTTCATGTTATGCTTAAAGCCTCCAAAGCCTTCTGTGCTAGAGAATTCCTCAGGTTCAGTACTCTTGACTGAAAAAAATTTCTTCTCATCTCAATCTTAAATGGCCTAGCCTGTATCCTGAGACCACTTGTTCTGGACTCTCTGGCCAGGGGCAACAACATCATTTTATATCTTTCAAAGAGATCCCCTCTTATTCTTTAAAAACTTCAACGAATACAGGTCCAGTTTTTCCTGCACTCCCTGAATGACAATTGCATCTTTTCTTAGATAAGGAGATCAAAATTGCACATACTATTACAGGTGTGGTCTCACTAAGTGCCTGTACAGCTGCAACAAGATTTCGTTGCTCCTGTACTCAAACCTTTGTATATTAATGATATACAATAATCTAATGCATTAGCATGCCCAGTTAAATCCAGTTTAAATAGAAGGAAAGAAGTTAATTTTGTTGAATAATTTTACAGTTGGTAGTAACCTAAATGAGAGAAGATCTGTGAGTGTAGCCATCCAAGAATGGAGAAAGTGTATCTGTTTTGATTGTAAATGATAATTCTGTTAGTTGATAAAATTACTTTAGAGTGCAGCGAAACGAGAAAAATGATGATTTTTGGACATGTAACTAAGCTTTTATTACTGTCGGGTTTTATATTTGAGATGGTTTAGAAACAGTAAAAGAGGAAATTCAGAAATGATATAATTTGGGGGTAAAAATGGTGAAAACACCATTTGCATTTTCAGTTGCTAATGCAATTTAGAATGGGATGTCTGGTTGGCACAGACAAGTTGGACAGAAAGGTCTGTGCTGTATGGCTGAGACTGTGACTTTTCAAATAATTTTTTATAATGAACCTGTGGTAACCATACAAATTTTATTGAAATATTAAAAGTAAATTAAAATGACCATACTGATGCATGGACATACAGCCACTAAAATAATTTCTTTTCATTGTAGGCCTCTCTAACATGATGGCTGATGGGGAGTTTTTACGCACCAGCTGTGGCTCACCAAATTATGCTGCTCCAGAGGTTATTTCAGGCAGGTTTGTATACCTGTGTTTGATCTAAGCATTTCCTTCAGCTTCTGTAGTTAAATGAGATTTGGTTGACTTTTCTGTTAATAAACAATTCCCAGTGTATTGCTATTGTCTTCCCATGTATTTTTTAGCTCTGCAGCACAAATGCCTAAAGATTGTATTCCTACATTACCTTTATTAGTGTATTTTATGTCCTTGCACCATTCTTTTAACCTTCTGAATGAATATATTTTTTGGGATGGAGAGAATACTGCAAAATTCAACATGTTGGGATGTTGCGTTCCTAGATTAGGTGTGGTATATCTGCATGTAAAGCAAACCTCTGCCAGTTCTAGTCCAGAAACCATTGTTCACAGAAGAGCATTATGATATCTTGAACCTTTCAATCAATGGCAATGCTGCCACATGCCATCACTCATTTTCCCATCCAGACATCACTGTATATTTCTTCTAATCCTGACTGTCAGAGAAATGTGTAGTGTAATATCTGGCGGAGAACTCCAACAAAATGGAGTAGAGGTGGGGAAGAGAGGTCATGCCTTTTTATATACCAGCTGCTACATTCATGTAAGTTTAAAAGTCTAGTCTTTGACTGTGGGTTAGTGAATGGATGATTGAGCAAATGGTTTTGTAATGAGTAGATATAGCCAAGTATGTGGTCAGGTGAGTTGGGAGAGGGGATATTAGTTGGATCTGGACTGGTGGTGGCATTGCTAATCAGATCTGATTAGTTAGTGGGAGGCTAGTCAGGTGTTTGGAGTCTTCTTGTCAGGAGTAGTCAGATGTGGGGCGAGGTGGGAATGTTGAGCCTGGTTGGGTGGGACGGTAGTTGGGTGGCCAGGTAATAGTGTGAATGGAACCTTGTTTAAGTGTGGTAGTGGTGGGTAGTCTGGTTGTGGAGGATTTAGCGGTGTAGTCAAAGGGTTGATGGGACGACTTTTGGTTGGTTCTGGAGTTATCCAGGTGCTACACTGGGTTTTAGACTGTCTAATGTTTCCTGGGTAACTACTCAGGTAAAAACCATGGATAAATCCCAAGTTTCCATATCTAGCTCAAAGAGAAGGTCCTTTCAGGGCAGGGAAATTGCCCATTGGAAATTTAAACACACTGAGCAATTACACATAGGTCCCACATTGTGACTACTACAAGGTCATGATGCACATTATCCATTCTATATCTTGTCTCTGACGATTTGCAGGCTAGAAGATTGGGGCAATATTTCCATTGAATACAGTAAATATTCTTATTGGCTTTATTGTGAGATATCTCATTTCTTGTTGGTGTATAAATAGATTCAGGATAAATTTAGGGTTATTATCTACAGCCTCAATTCATATAAGATTTTCAAAGCCAGTACCATTATTTCCAACATTATGAGTATTTTATTACGATTAGTTTCTGTCCCATTTTCAGGCCTTCTACGCGTTTAACCGTTTTTCGAAAAGAAAACATATTTTTTTCCGAATCCTGACTGTTTAAGTTACTTAAATGATTGCCCTCTACAGTATCTAAATGAATGGAAATTTATTTGATATGGTACAGATTATTTTAGTAGCTTGATGATTGGCTCACTTTGGTTTCAGTTACTTATTGAATGTGTCATGCACATAGGTGCCATTTAAACATAGAGCAACAGCCTAGATGAATGAAGTGGAAGGTAGAAATACAATGTTTTGCAAGGTGGAACAGAATAGAGGAAAAGAAGGTCACCTCTTTGCAGATATGTGATTTAATCCGCAAGCCAAGGAATATAATGGTTGCAGTCCTAATAAATTTTGATATTTGATTCATTTTTTCTCTTTGTTCTATCTATATCCTTTACAATGAGCCTGTGTAAGGGTGTCTTGTGTTGTGGTTTACATAGTTGCCAATTCTTTTTGCTTTACCTAACTGAAATATTTTTTTGAGGGAGTTGGCAATGTTGAAAGTGTTAAGATTGTATCATTGATAAGTGAACAATTTGTTCTATTTAAAATTGCTGATTCTATGGCAAACTAATAAACAGGACCAAAATACAAGTAAAAAATCTGCAGAATGATATGAGAACGTTATTGAGCAATATTTGAGTGCTAGTAATCTAGCACCTGTTCCCCAAAGTTGGATTTTTAATTTACTATCAGTTGTTATCCCAATTAAAACAAAGAGATTAAATCTTGGAAGAATAGCAAATATGCAGATTATGTAGCAAAATTCATCAAGATTATATAATTTCTATGTCTCCATTGTCACTTTGTATTATAAAATTTATGGATTATGGAATAATGTAGCAATTTCAGTACTTCCATAAAACTTTGTGGTGATTTTAACTGCTGTCAAGCATGACGTATTCTGCACGTGCAAAATGGTTTGAGAAAGAAACTTTCCAACAAATCTTTCAGATACTAACGTTATTGTGGAGCTGTGGTGTAATTCACTTTTAGTCACTAGGCCACACTTGCATTTTTAGAAATAGAATTTAAAGCAAAACCATGGTGCTTCTGGGCTAATTGTCGAGAGTAAGCGGAATAATGTGTACTATCACAATTGTATTAGTGACCTAAGATGAATTCATGCGGCCATATCTCAATACATCCTCAGTTTATATTTGGTTGTTCCTGACACACACAACTAACCTCTATGCCCTTAAACATTAGCTGATACTAACTTATCAATATTACAATTTCAAGATGTTTTCTAGTATTGAATATTCTGCTTACTCACGAGCCTTTACAAATGTTGGTGAATAGCCTTTCTATGACTTGGAAAGTGTCCAGCACCTTGTCAGTGTCAAATACTTTGAATTTCACCTTACCCGAAAGAAGAACCTAAGAGTCCACTTTTTGGGGATTTAGGATATTTTGAATTGAAAATATCTCATTCTTTCCTCTCTCCTCTTCAATGTTACCTCTTTTTAATGTATGTATGGCAAGACCAAGTGAAGGTGGCATGTTTCCTTCCTCAGAAAGGCATTAGAGAACCAGTTTGGTTATTAAGTTATCTGACTGTTTGAAGGACAAACATTCTCATAAGTCGTGGTATATGACCTTGCTTTCTATCGATTATTAGTCCAGGTTTCTGGATTACGAGTTCAGTAGTGTAATCATTACATTGCCACATGCCCCTATTTTTCTTTCAATAGAATTGATTCAAAGTTGCAAAACTCCTGGGCAGATATCAGCCCTGCTTAGAGCTATTTTTTGCTCATACCTATAAGCACCTTACTTGAATGAGCTACATGATGAATTTCCTTGAGGAAATGTATAAATAAATAGATTTTCCTCACAGGTCTTAAAAAAGGCAAGGCAAAGCTGAAATAGTATTCAATGTAACTAGCAAATCAGATTTTAAGTGACTTGAGCCAGAAACCTTTTGCTAATTGCAGCAGGCTTTATATGTTCTAAATTGGGACTTCCAAGTCTTTACTTAAATGTAGGAATATAACTGACATACTGAGCATTAGACTCAACCAACCTTTGTCCTGATTATCAGAATTTAGGATTATAATCTGATACTGCACCTGTAGCTGAAGCAAAAAGAGACTAGTTTTACTAAAATAGCTGTTGATGTCGTTGTCAACATCTCGGAACGTAGTTTGTTTTAATAATAGTTTGTTTTGACAGCCATCATTTTCTCCCGTTCATTTCTAGGGAATCCTCTTGTGTTACGTATAAAAATAAAGGTAATTTTCATTAATTTATATAGTTGTGGAGTTCATGCCTTCCATTTTCACATTTTGTAAATGCTAATCTGTTAATTGCTTGACATCTCATTTTCAGCATCTTCCAGAGTCTGGCTAATGCAATACTGTAAGCACTTCAACTGGAGTGAACTGGTTATTGTACTCCCTGTTATTTTGTTCTTTTCTTCATTATTTTGTTCTCTAAGTCTAAATTGATCAAATTGTTTAGAAAAATATAAAACTACATCATTGCAAATAAAATAGTTTTTTGTTTCACCACCTATTTTATATTCTTCAATGTATGGTAGTTGAATGCAAAAACATAATAGAATCGTGCCATATTAATATTTTCTTCATTGTTAGGTTGTATGCAGGCCCAGAGGTGGATTTTTGGAGTTGCGGTGTGATTCTTTACGCCTTGCTGTGTGGGACGCTGCCTTTTGATGATGAGCATGTGCCAACACTTTTCAAAAAGATCCGTGGTGGTGTATTTTATATTCCTGAGTATCTGAACCGCTCAGTTGCTAATCTTCTCATGCATATGCTACAGGTTGACCCGCTGAAAAGGGCAACCATTAAAGACATCAGGTATGATCTGTAACACTTATACTATATTTGCACACACTATTTCTCCTCAGTCTTTCACTCCTCTTTAAGAGGTTATGAATCCTGTGTTTAGCCAGATATCTCATCATCTGTAGTTTGGAAGGAAAAATAGATATAATCTGTTGTCATGCCTTTGGCTAAGCAATATGGGTATCTTATGATACTTTCACCTCTAAGGAACTGTTGTGATATTATTATAATGTTAAAAAAAACTGTCTCAATACAGCCATACCCTGAGGGTTCATTCACACTTTTCTTACTACCCCGGTCCAATTAAAGTGCATGACAGTCTGTGGGTGCTACTTAGATAAATAAATGAACTGCATTTTTAGCATCAACTATTCATTGGGAATTAATCTGGGTAAATACATTTCCAGTGTTTGAGATGGGAATGAGAATGAGCACTGCTTTTTATGTGTAGTTCCCCAGATGACAGGAGTGGGTTAGGAATTTGGCAAGAGGACATTGCGATATGGGCTGTCCTCACCCTGGAGCATGAGACTAGTTGAAAAGAACAGGGAAAGGGAGAGTGGATGAAAGTGAATGATCGAAAGGGGAAAGGAAATACTGATGAAGAGGAGAGGCAGAAGTGGAAGCAGTAGAGAAAGGAAAGGGAGAATCTGGATTCAGACAACAACACAATACAAGGCTATTTGCATTCAGTTACTGCTCTGAAGTTAAACACACCAACCCAAAGTATAATCACCTATTAGAAAAAAAATCTACTGTATGTTATCAGAAAGTCTGAAAGGATTATTATTGTTATGAGTTGTTATCTTAATGTTGCATAATGAAAACTAAAATTTCATTATAATTTCACCAACAGGGAACACGAATGGTTTAAACAAGATTTGCCAACTTATCTATTTCCAGAGGATCCTGCATATGATTCCAATGTCATAGATGAAGATGCAGTGAAGGAAGTTTGTGAGAAGTTTGAATCTACTGAGTCTGAAGTTATGAACAGTCTATATAGTGGTGACCCACAAGACCAGCTGGCTGTGGCTTACCACCTTATTATTGACAATCGGAGAATTATGAATCAAGCTAGTGAGTTTTACCTGGCATCAAGCCCCCCCACAGGTTCATTCATGGATGATAATGGGTTACATATCCCACCTGGTGTCAAAGCCCATCCTGAGCGCATGCCCCCTTTGATGGCAGACAGCCCAAAGGCACGCTGTCCACTTGATGCACTCAACACTACTAAACCCAAACCAATGGCATTGAAGAAAGCAAAATGGCACCTTGGAATTCGCAGTCAGAGTAAACCATATGATATTATGGCAGAAGTCTACAGAGCCATGCGACAGCTGGATTATGAATGGAAGGTAAGAAATAACAGATTTTAAAAGCAAAACTCATTACTTTTAAGGTATTTTTGTCATGTTCTCCATGTCTCCTTGTACCTCATTTTACTGTTTCTAAGCCTCAGCCAACACCACTCTGATATCAGCTGTCTGAAAATGTACAGCTCGAATAGGCTAATTTATCTTTCACACTTTAATTCTCCTCTTCCCTGTCCCTGATTGTAGAAAAGATCTGTGCAGTACATCTAATAATAGAATGTCTGAAATTGGGAGCTGGTGTAGTTGTGATTTGAGGTAATGAGATACACTACAGTGTTCTTTTAATGATTTGAGCTGCATTATGATGTTTCTAGTTCACCTCATTTCCATCTGCAATTTTTAATGAAGATTTAAGATGAAGGACATGACTCAGTCATGAGACTTCAATTGTATTAGAATACAAGATGTAATATGCTGAAACATGACTGTTGCAATTTTTTAAACTTTCTCTAATCTTATTTTTAATATGGTGAAAGATATGAGAAGTAGTTTAGTAAAGATTTCCTTGGAGCTGTCCCTGCTCCACTGCTGTAACTTTGTAGGAGTATGATAAAAACTGTATTTGTGGCCTGAATTTTCACTGCAATTTTGATTAGGTTTTATTCCAAAAGGTTCAGAATGTTCCAAAACTTTTTTGTGTATGCACTTACTTTGAGACTTTGCAAGCACTTTGCTATGCATCTTGTTAAAAGTTCATTCTTAAGATAAGGGCGTAACAGTCAAGGCTGGTTTTGCCCTTCCTTAGTTGCCATTGAAAGGTATTGATCGACTTTTTCGAACTATTGATCAAAAGAGTGGCATTGTAGCTCATTTTCCCCAAGTTATTTAAGTGTTAACCAGATTAGTTTGGGGTTTTAAAGCTATTTTTAAGCGATAAAGAAAGCCACTGTCTTTTCTTGAAGTTTTGCAATCGTAAGACAGTTTTGTGATCACTTTTACTGATAGCTTTTTAAAATTTCTATATTATTTTTCTTATGTTGACTTCAGTCTTCAAATTGCCATAATGTGATTTGGATTGGTATAACTTTTAATTATTTGTACAGTGACATAAGTATCCAGTTATCCATCCAGGTAAATTTACTGTAAGGCCTTTTGGTAATTGCTATTGTTTACTTCTTTTTACATACATTTGTAACTTCATAAAATGGAAAAGCACCATGAGTTTAAAAATGAACTAAGTATAAAGTTTCCAACTTGGGTAAATAAAATAAACTCAACATTAAGAACTCAATTAATCCATTATAAATTATTTTCACTTATACAGGCCAGGATTTTCTTTGGAACTGCTCCTACTGTAACTTTGTTGGAAGTGCAGTAAAAATCCCATTAATAAATAGTGTTTCCATTGAAGCTACAGCAGCGGATTCAGAACAATTCTGAGGAAATCATCAGCTGCGCTGTCTCTCATACCTTTCACTATGTTAAACTATTTCTTATTCTCAAGTATACACATCTGAAATAGTTTTATCAGGTCATCGATTTACTAACTGCTATTTTGCACAGAACAGTTTGAAATAATACCACTTGGATCAAAGTTGGTAAAAGATCCAGAAAATTTGTATTTTCTTTCGAAAAATGAATTCTAAAATATATTTATTTTAGCTTGTAGTATAGATATTTATACAATCTTTGTTAGTAAATGTTAGCATGGGAAACAGTAGATATTGCAAAATTTGTAATCAGACATTAGAAACATCAGTAGGATGGAAGTGAAAGTGTAAGCAAGCATAAAATACTGGAATTTACTGATCAGATTGAATAGCCCATTGGTTTTCTCAATCAGAGTGAGAATTTTTTGTTATTAATGTGAACATTGAAACTTAAAATGGAAGTCTTGACAATCAAGTCGTGTCAACAGCACGGGAGAAAATGGTTTTGAGTGCAATTTTTCTTCACACCTTATAGATTGATATGTTCACATTTTTCAACTTCAGTTTTAGGATTAAACATTTTTTATGTTACTAAGATTTGGGGAAAATATTTGTTCTATTGGTAAAGTTGTGTTAGGTCAGAAATAAGAACAGAAAATGCATAAAATACACAGCAGTCAGGCAGCATATTGAAAGAGAAATGCTTAATGTTTCAGGCTAATAACCTTTCATTAAAACTGGGGGAAAAAAATCGGAAAATTAATTGATTTGCTCACATTGTGGCCTCCTCTAAAGTGCAGAGAACCATTGCAGATTGGATGAGTACATTACAGAACACCTCTGTTCATTCCACAAGCATAATTCCCCAGCTTCAGAAGACCTTTTTTTTTTAACTTTTCACCTTGCTCTCAAAATGACATCTATATTCCTGGCCCGATACTCTGTTCAGTAAAGCGCAATGTAAGCTGAGTGACAGCACCTCATCTTTTGATTGGATGCTTTACAGCTTTCCAAACTCAAAAGTCAAGATCGTATACTCTGGCCTCCCATTTTGTTTCCTTTCTTTGTATGTTTCAGCTTTTCTCTTATTTTCACTTCCAATCAGCAGCATACTTGCTCTCGGCAAATCATTTGTTTGTTTCTTATCTTGTGCCAACACCATTCCCTTTGCTTTGTAAAACTAATGTTTCTATCATTTAATTGCTCTGTCTTCCTCCCTCGCACAAACCTGCGTTTTGTACTTGTTCCACATACCTCTTGCTCAAACTTATTACATCTCTGACTCTTTCCAGTTCTAGTGAAAGGTCATCACCTTGAGAGGTAAACTCTGTCTCTCCACTGATGGTCCCTGAGCGAACCCAATTTTACTCTTTTTATTTTAGATTTCCAACATCTGCATAATTCTGTTCTTTAAGACGTCATACTTCTGCTTTAGGTTCCCAAATGTGGTAAAGCTCAGCACTAAGGCTTGAGCTAGATTTCTTCAACTGTTTTTTGTTCATTTTTATTTTCCAAATCCTTTTAAGTATCCTTTTAAATGGCACAGTGGTTTGCATTCAGATTCTGGGTAGTAATTTGCTTTCAGCTCAGGTTGCCCTTATGGATGATGTTTTGCTCAATAAGTCTTAGTCTACTTCTCTTCTCTTCTCCCATCCTTTCTAACTGTATATCCCAGAATGGTTTTGGAGCATTAACCTTGATCAGAATTAGTGCCTTCGACTCTGCTGTGTGGTAGATCTATAATAAATTACTTTTTCCAAGGTGGTGAATCCCTACCATCTGCGTGTGCGTAGAAAGAATCCAGTGACAGGGAACAATGTGAAAATGAGTTTACAGCTGTATCAAGTTGACAATCGCAGCTACCTGCTAGATTTCATGAGCATTGATGGTAAGGAAGACATTTGTTTTATTTTGTGTTCTTGTGTATTTTCTGCAATTAAACTAAAATGTAGTGAGTATTATACTGTTGTCCAGTAGCCAGCATTTTATATTTCTTATCTGTATAATTCCACAAGACTTTCCTGGTGGAAAATGATTCTGCTATCACAGTCTTGTGTGAAGTTACTCTTAACTATCTAGGAAGTTAACAACATCAAATTGTGCATTTATGGAAAATGTCAGAAATGCATACAAGTCCATCAGTATTTGTTAAGAGAAATGATGATGGATTAATCTTTTGGATGTAAATCCAGTCATTAGAATAGGAAGCTGGAAAGAGCGGAACTTTCAGTAGAAAAATAGAGAAAGAAATAGATACAAGTGAACAAGTACAATTTTAAAATGAAGATTATTGCCCACTTCATTGCAATGAACCCCTCTCTCAAGCTGTATATCACCCCATCAAAAGATTACATTTGAGTAGATATTAATCAATCTTTTTACTAATCAATCAAAAAGGGTAGCAGTGAGGACGAGATGGTAATCTGTGGGAGGCAATGACAGTGCATTGAGATAAAATATTAAGTAAGAAATGGCATTTCAGATATGAAAAAACTGAAAAGTAAATTGCTACTGAAATGCAGCACATCTGAAAGCAAAACTGCTGAAAGTATATGCTGGTGTCAGTTCAAGTGGGTGTTTAAAACTACAGTATAGTTTTGACTGGTCAGACTTGAGGAATTTCTTTAAATGGTGTACCTGGCATGTTACATTGAAATTTAAACTAGTCTTTCTGTTATGTCTGAAAAATTTCAATAGCATGTCGTGGATCATAAATGGTGGAAATCAATCTGAACTTCAGTCATATTCTAATTTTTAAGTCTTTATTTATGAAAGTTACGGTTTGGTATAGCTAACCATTTGTGTAAGTGCACATTTAAGTCGATGCAATTGTGGAAATCTTTGACTTTTAATGCAAATTGTACTAATGTTAAACAAGATTGAAAAATGTTGAAAATACATTTTAGGTTCTCACAAGTAGAATTTAAAAATTAATCTCTATAAAACAACAGATGATTAACTTTGGATCATAAATTTAAAGTGTAAATTTAGTCTATTCAGAAGTGATACAAACTTGAGATACTTGCATGGATGAAGGCAGAGCTGCATTAATGAGTTACACAGAATTTAAGTGGAAGTTTTGCATTGTGGAAATTTGGGTGTGGTATGAAAATGGGTGAATCATTTGAATATGAGTTTATGACATTAAGTCATAGTTATGCTATTGTTCAAGTACAAGTTTTAAGAAAATTCCAGGTTTCTCATTATACTTTGGGTTGCTATAATATTTGAAGTATTTACCTTACATTCTGATATAAAAGCTGAAATGTTGGAATGAGCAGCAGGTCTGTCACCATCTGTATGATAAATAAGTTAATGTTCCTCTTAACTGGTATGGTTGAGCTTGCATTATCAACATATCTGTGCATTTTGTTTTTATTTTTAATTCCTGTGTGTTTATTTCTTTGTGTTTTTGCTCCCAATGATTAGACGATATTATGGAACAAAAATCAGGCTCTTCCACTCCCAAACGTTCAGGATCAGCAGCTTTGCTGCACAGGCCAAGACTGAGTTCCGATGCCGTAGCTACTGATGGCCAGCCTCTGACTCTCGTTGGATCACTCCCCACTTCTCTGACCGGATGTTTGAGTTCAATAAGTCCCCGAAATGGGAGCCACACAATGGATTTCTTTGAGATGTGTGCTAGCCTTATTACTACGCTGGCTCGTTGACATAATACAATCAGCTTCCTGATAATTTATTGAGCGTAAGCTCTTTAACCCTTAAAAAAAATTGCAAGAAAACAACCTCTCCACTTAGTGTGTGTGTCTTGTACTTTGGCACTGGTTATAGACCATGCCAGTTTGCAGTTGGTGCTTGTGTTTCTTTGGTATTGTGGCGGCTGAAAGGTAACGTTTGCGCATTACCATTTGGAAACTCTGCAGTAATATTGTGGACCTTTATTATTGCACCTGTTTTGCAAGCCAAATTCATGGTATTATACGGGTTTAGAAATACATCTGGAAAGTTGTAGAAAAACAACTTTCATTTTAAAGCAGTGACGTGCTACAAATTGTTAAATTATGAGAAATTTAAAGCATGTTTTAAAGACTTGGCATATGATGTTTTAGAGAAATGGTTGACTGCAGCAGTTCATTCTTTGAGGCTGTGAGTAGATGGAAATGCTTATTTCTCTTCAGGTTAGTTGTGGCTAGAAAGCTATAACGTTAAAACTCTAATTTTATAAATAATTGAGGTAAATTACATTGAAATGAAAATTGAAATGGCTCATTTGAAATCCTCAAGTTACATTATATGCAGTTGTTCAGCATTATTTTACTGCTGATTTGTTTTATTGATGGCAGAATTACATTTACTTGTGTAGAATTGTTAAGTATAACCAAAAAGGTCCTGTGCACAAACAAAATTAGCTTGAATTCTTTGAAACACTCCCTTATAAATATTTCCCAGCTAGCATGAATACTCCTGCACACTGTATCTTTCACTTGACTTTTTAAAGTTGACAGTATACTCAGCTAGATTTGGTTAAACGTGGACTGAATGTTGAATTTTATTTAAATATACACACTATACCTTTACAGGACAACTGGGATGACAAATACTGTCTCAAAAATAGTTGATATTTATAGCATTTAATAAAGATCCCAAATTGAGGTTCTTTGATTGACAATGCCATTCATTTTGTCTTGTCACTTTATTTACCATAAATTTCTGTTTCTCACTGTCAGGTTTTCTGCTTTATAAAGTCTGCCAACTTAACTATAAATGTTTGAAAATAAATCAAGTAAATTTAAGATTATATTTTAATTTTCTTTTGCAAAATGGAGAAGCATTTTGAATTAATACTTCACCTAACTTTCCTTGCCTTACATGGAATTTATTTTGATTTGGTTGTCTGATATGTTGTATTTTCAGTTTCAACCTCCCAACATTCACCGTTTTGTGGTATTCCTGACCGTTACCATCTTTCTATTACCAAGCATGTAGTTGCCTTTCAGGCTTAATAACACCATCTAATCAGTAGTCATAAGTGCTTATGATTTTAATTAACTGAAAAGAAAAGTATGTTGATTATAATTCCCTGTAACTTTTTGATTTTTGAAGGTAGATCTGGCAATGAGTTTAATCTAGTAAATATGATATGAAGATATTGTATGCTTTAAAAGCATATACAATTAATCTAAATGTCAAAATCTACAGACTTTCTAGCGTATTGCCACTAAATTGGTACTTAGGCCAAATCTCCAGATGTGCCGTATCCCAAGCTCCATCCTTCTCTTTTATTTTGGGGTTATGGTGCTGAGGTGGTTGGGTGGGTGGAGAGAAGTGGTCATCTGGAATCTGTCATGACTTCCCATGTTAGGTAGAACAGCCTTTTGAATGAACTTCCAGGCAAGAGGTTTTCTTGGCCTCAACCTAGCTTCTACCAGCTAAGAGAAAGAAGACCTATAAGCATCCAGAGTAGAGTCCATGAGTGTCCCCTTCCTGGTAACTTATAGAATATGATGACTTGCAAGAAAAACCTCCAAACAGTTTCAAATCATGCTTTGGAGCAAAAACAAGAGTGTACACCTAATTTGTTTTCTGCATTTCTTAAAAAATTTAATGAAGTTTAAATAAACCCTCATAATAACCTGCAGACTTGAGCCAAAATGATGCATCTGTACTGTAGGTCTGCTTTATGGAGTTGAAGTCCAAATATTTGCATTTAAATATTTGCAAAACCTGAGGTTTTGTAATTTTTATTACACGTTTTTTCCAAGATTGTTTCTATTCCCAAATTCTAAACAGTCATATAGGTACCATAGAAAATTGATGTAATTCGTGAATGATTCACTCTTTGTACTTAAAAAAAAAAAAAAAAAAAAAAAAAAATGTTCATTATCCACACTGGATTCAGAAATGTTTACTATAAAGTCACTTCTGAAAATGTCAGGTGCCAGCATGCAAGTAGTTTCATCATGTTTGAGCAAAGTAGATAGAAGAGCTAGACTAAAGAATGGAAGGTAACCATATGCTACACACATTGAGTCTTGGCGATTTAAGTATTAGTTCCTCATCCTCAAACGTATCTCTCCTTAGTTGTTTTCTTTAGAAGATTTGGAGTACAGTTTAACAAAACCAATATTAAAGTTTCTTCCCATTGTAAGACAGCATTATCCCCATGCATCTTCAACAGGGCTCAGTACATATCAATCAAGAGGAAGATCCAACAGTTTTTTAAATTTCCGCTTTTTCACTTCTAGTATCTTGAAGCTGATTATTGTACTCCATTGATACAATTGATTTTCACAAGTATTATTTTAAAGTTGTGCCTTTTGTTTTACTTTTATTAACATTGCCTGCCACTGGCTTTAAGGAAGTAGTTAAATATACCCTTGAAACATTGATGTATATGAAACAGTTGCGAAAGGGTTCTATTCCTGTCCCAGTTCATCTGCTGCTGAAACCCTTGGACATCAAGACTTGACTTTCCCTCTGCATACCTAGATAGCCTCCAATCTTTACCCTCTGCAAATCTAAGGTACAGCAAATCAAGAAAGCTAAGAGAATGTTGTGTTTTATTGCGAAGAGAATTGAAGAGTAAGGAGGTTATGATTCACTTATACGGGGGCATTGGTGAGCCTGCATCTAGAGTAGTGTACAATGCTGATTACGGTTGTTAATATGTTGGAAGCAGTTCAGAGGTTTACTACATTAATGCATGGAATGAGCGGATTGCCTTCTGAGGAAAGACTAGACAACCTAAGCCTGTATCCTGTGGAATTTAGAAGAATCAAAGGTAACTTAATTGAAAAGTAAGATCCTGAGAGGACTTGACTGAGTGGATGTTGCAAGGATGTTACCTGTTACGGGGGAAATCTAGAATGAGGGGCCATTGTTTTAAATGGGAAACCACTTATTTTTAAACTATTTAATTTTTTATTTCTCTGGGGGTTGAGTGTCTTTGGAATTTCCTTCCTTAAAAGGCAATGGATGTAGATTCTTTAATTTTCTTTTTAAGGTAGCGGTAGGTAGTTTCTTGATTACCAAGGGGATGAAAAATTATTGGCGATATGCGGGAATGTAGAGTTAAGGTTAAAATCAGTTTAGCCGTGATCTTATCGAATAGCAGAACAGACTCAGAAAGCAAAGTGGCCTATTGTTCCCTGTTTGTATCTAAAATTTAACTACCCATGTTCAAATCCACACCAACTTCAATTCACCCCAATGCTTGCTGATCTATGTTGGCGATTTGTTTGGTGACATGTTAATTTTAAAATTGGAATCCTTGTGCTCTAACCCTTCAATGACCTCACTATTCTCCCTACTCCTCCTCCCTCCGCACCCCCGCCACCCCCGGCCCTTTCCCTATCTCCTGTAACCTGATTTATCGTACACTATTCACGATGGTCGCATTTATCCAATTTGGCTTGTTGGAGCATATTCCAGTTTTAATCACTCCGTTGGTGATGGTGATGTCATCTGCCGAGGCCCTGAATTCCCTCTCTAAAACCCTCTACCTCTCTTTCTCAGATGCTCCTTAAACCTACCTCTTTGACCAAGTTTTTGGTAATCAGCCCTAGTGTAACTTTGATGTTGTCAGATTTTATTTGATGCTCCTGTGAAGCACCTCTTGGAATTTTACTACATCTATGGTACTATGTAAATACAAGTTGTTGTTATAATCTATGTAAAGAGTAATTGAAATGTCCTAAAATATTGAATTACGCAATATAAACACCAGTCCTTTTTCTTCCTTTAATTCCCCTCTCCTCCTCATCTTCTAAAACATGCCTTCTTAACACATGGTAAAGGCATGATGGTTATGAACTGGTGAACATTGTAAGTGAAAGAGCAGAATCACAGAATCTATCCCTTTTAACTTCTACGAATGGGATTGGGTGATCAAGAGTCACAAACAGTGTGAAGAACTGACTCATTGTTATTTAGTATTTAAAGTAATTCACTCTTCATTGCTTGAAATGAAGAAATAACTTTTGCCTTCGCATACACACTGTATATTTTGAAGTAAGTCATTCATGTCCAGTTGATCTTTTCAGTATGTCCCTGTCCTTGCAGCAATAGGCAGTACTGGATGGACTAGACATGTAACTTCCTGGCTTATAAATACATTGCGACTTTATGGTACATTAGAAGGCAAAATGTTAGAGTATCAGTTGCATGGAAAGCAATTTTATAAGCTTGTACATTTTACTTGAAAAAGTAGCTTTGTGTGTACACATCTCTTTGCATGTTTCTTGGCAAAGATCAGTAAGCAAGTGGAGCACCCATTTTATTTTTAAGTATCAAAGCATTGAAACTTGAATCATGCTTGAATTTTAGATTGATGTAATTCCAGATGTCATCTCATGCCCTATTTGAACTTTAGCTGCTTATATTTTGTGTCCATAAAATAACCATATTTGAAAGTCTCATTTATGTGATAATCGTTTTGTCTCTGTCTCTAATCACCTTTTAATTATATTGAAGTGAATACTTGAAATGTAATTTAGTTTGATTAGGTATTTTCTTTTTTTCATTTTGTAGCTTTTTTTTTCACAATTCCAGTTTGCTTATTGGTTTAAAGTTGACAATGAAATTGTAACTTAAACAAAGCGTAGTTTAGATTGAACATCAAGATTAAGCATATTCCACTATGATGGGATACACTACTTAATTATTAAGCTAAAAAGATCTACACTACAAATTCAATGGTATTCACAACTTTGCATTCTAAATCCTTGCAGAAATTTTTCAGTTAACCTTAAAATTATGTTTCCCGTGGTGTTTCAGTTGCCTTTTGTTTGAAGGATGTGTGGGAGCACAGTTTTGTGCACAGTTCCTTCCAGAAATCTGACAGTTATGATGCAGGGCGGTCATAGAAAATGCTGCTCCATTCTTGATACCACTGGAACAGAATTTTTAGCTAAGCATTACTAGACGATATGGTACAACATATTTCCCTGGTTATTGGTCTTTTTCTGGACTGGAGGCTTGCATGCTTCACTGCTTTGTGAACTAATTGAATTATTTTGTTAAGGAACTACCTAAGTAGGCATTGCCAGATATTGCTTTGGAACTGATCTGTTTTACTTTTGTGAAGTCAAACAATACTGTATTTGTCAATGCGAATGGAATTTGTATGTATTCAGTTTTTACTAAGGTTACCATGAAAGAGGATGTAAATTATCAAAGACTGTACAAGACAAATCAGGGTACACTTAATTTACCATGAGCTGTGAAATTGAGTGCTGCATGTTGCCACTTTGTGGCAGTTTGGAGCTATTGTACATAGTAAAACTGGACTGACTTTAGTCCTTGTTGCTGTGTGCTATGGTTGCCTTAAAATTTGAACATTATATCATTATGATAGCTTTATTCTTTGTCGTACTGTCATGTATTTATACAAAAATGTACTTTTTTTCTATTTGCAGGAATCAAGTAACTGAAAAGTTTTAATGTTTTCCTGCAGAAGTAAAATGCATGATCTTAATATGTTCTATAATTATAATGTGTGGAACAGTTTGCTTCACTCCATATTTTTGATGTACGAAGAGGAGAAACCAGTGTTAATCTCAATGCAAAGTTTTGGATCTTTGTTATAGTTTTACCATATTTTGCTGAATTTTCTTATCTAATATTTAATGAAGAATCACAAATATTTGAGAGCTAACACCAAGATGAAATGGGAGTTTGGAAGCTATTTAAAAAAAAACTCTAAATATGGGAAAGAGCAAGGTCCGTCAGAATCTGTGGGGAATTGTGCCAAACTGGATGACCCGAAATCTCAGCCATTACCTTGTCATCAGTGTTAACTTTGAGCTGTGAAGTCTTTCCATTTGAATCCAAATAATTAATTTAACAACTACCCTAATAAGCAAAATGGTATTAGATGAGCAAATGATCCTACAAGCAAGCCCTCTGATTTTTCTAGTTTCAGTCATGGGATTTTTCAGTCTTCAAAATTGTCTGGTAGAAGACCTAAATCTGGAAGACTATTTCTAATTAAATTGACATTGCCAAAGCGTCAAACCTGTAAACTACAATTTAGAACTGATGTCACGGTTTTTTTTATTATCACTGAGTGAGTAGTACATAGACTCCTGGCTACAATATGAAGGCAAAAGTCCCTGTAATAACTTTGGATGCTGTAATGGGAATAATTTCATTCAGGCTGGATGAACTAAGATGGGCCATTTCATAATTAGTTTGTAGAAAAATTTTGGAAGTGAATTTTCTCACAGCATAGGTTGTTCGCCTTGGAGTTAAGAATACAGACCTTAAACTGGAAGGGGTTGCTCGGTATATAGCACTTTTGATTTCCTGATACTTAATAACTAGAAAAATTGAAGTGGAAATTTTACGATCTGCACTCTTGTCAAATGGTGCACAGTAATAAACTGTCTCACAGGACTTAACTCAATTTTTAAATTTTGTTATTCTCCTTCTGTTTCTCATGCCTCTGCATTATTGCTTATTGGGCTTACTAATGGGTTTTCATAGCATTAAAGCAAGCATTCAAATTCCAGTCTGTCAATTTTTTTTTCAGCTTGGATAAACATAGCAGCAAGGCTAAGATACATCCAATGATTAAACTGAGAATTTTTTAAACTTGTCTACTATTTTGTAGAAATTTATCTAAAAAAAGACTTATTTTCTGTTATGGACATGGCTACCATCTATTTTGAAAGTAACTGACATGAGCTTTAATTAAGCCCAGAGTTCAGTGTTCATTCAGATGCATGAAAGGTTTCTCTTTTGCTTTTTGTAAAGATCCCATTCCAGTTACTAAGGGACAGTGTTCTCACCCCAGTTC